GCGTGGGGGGAGCGTCCTCCGCCGCCTGTTCCCGCCTCCCTGGAGTCTGGGGTGCCGGCTGGCTGCCTAGAGACGCCAGCGGTGACACCAGCCGGCAGCGGGCAGCTCTGTCCTGCAGCACCTGCCGGCCGCCGGGCGGAGGCTGCCCTGAGGCCTCGGCTGTGTCCCGAGGGGAGGGCGGCCGAGGGAGCCTGGCCCCCGCGCCTTGTGTCCGCGCCACGTCCCTGAATATCGGGCTGATGTCGGCGGTGGGCTGCTGCAGTACAGTAAAATATTTATTGCACGCCGCCCCTGGTGGCCTCCGTGGATGGCGCTTCCGCGTGCTGGACGTGACTGCGGGCCTCACTCTCCGTTGCCGGCGCCAGACCCCTGTGGGACCAGGCGTGGACCGTCCGCTGCGGTTTCCACACCCCGGCCGGGAAGAGTGGACGCCGGCGGTGGCCGTGGCAGGACCACGCTGCCCGCGCTGCTGCCGAGTGACCCAGGGTGCTCGGCACAGGGCCACGCAGCAGCCCGTGAGGCCTCAGGCTGGCGCTGTCTCTGCTCCACTGGCCGAACAGGGTGTCCAGGGGTGTCCAGGGCCCCGAGCCCCCCAGGCTGCCTGGTGTCGGTGACGGGGCTGGCCCTGCACCCACCACCCTGCACGTGGCCTGCGAGCACTGACCGCAAAGGCTGTGGCCCAGCACCCCTCGGGGTGCCCGCAGCCGGGCTTGCCCCGGCAGAGGGCGGCAGGGTCGCTGGGCCGGGCAGCTCGTCCCGCGTGGGGAGGGGCAGCACCGGCCTGCACGGCAGAGCGGGGTCGTGTCGGCGGCCACAGAGGCGGCTTCCACACTGCCGGGAGCTGACCACTCTTGGGTGGCACACACGCCCCCGCGGGGGGCGGAAAACGGCCACACGGGGGAGCGACCACACCCGGATCCCTTTCACCCCCACAGAGTGTCCTCTGAAGGCTTCGAAGCCAGCAGCCTTGTGACGTTTAGTGACAACAGCGAGTTCTAGCAAGTCACGCTCCCGGGTGCGGGCGTCGGGGACCCTCCGACTCCGGCACGAATGTGGCAACCTGATGGCACTGGGTTTCGAGCTGGCTGCATACTTCCGGTGACCCGAGGGTGCCACATTCTGGGGATTCACGTCCAGCAGGGAACGGGGAGCGGGTCAGCAGCGTCAGCCAGCCCGCCGCAGCGAGAGCGTCTCGGCCCGGCGCCGCCCCAGCCCCGGTGCACTGGGCTCCCGCCCCGTGTGTCAGGGTGGTCCTGGCGTCTGCCCTTCCCAGCTGCAGAGCGCGTGGGGTCTCTGGGGGCCCCTCCGCCCCCGCGGGCACGGCGGGGCATGGGCGCCTCTGTGCTGGACAGGGCGGCGGACTGTCCCTTCTAGGCGAGGCTGAGCACCTCCTGGGAAGCTGGGGCCCGCGGTCACCAGCCTGACCTGAGAGCCACGCTGACTTCAGGAGCGGCCGCTTGGACGGGGCTGCCGCGGGGAGTCGGGGGGCGCCACCCCCACGCTGAGCGGCTGAGCTCCGCTGCAGACCCCAGGGCCGCGCCGCCTCCCCGCCGCTCGCCCGGGAGATGCTGGAAGCGTTTTCCTTGCCACAACCGCAGTGGCTGCCCACTGCCGCTGTCCTTGCCGCCGCGCCTGGCCCTGTGGGGGCATCTCGGCCCTCCCGGGCCGCAGGAAGCAGGCCAGGACAGACGTGGCCTTTGAGGCGCCGATGCAGGGGCTGAGCCCCTGGGGTTGCTGGTGGGAGCCCCGCTCCGCGCTCCCCCGCTGCGTCCAGGCCCGTGAGCCTGGGCCTCAGTGTGCCCATTCAGCAAGGACAGCAGGTGGCCTGCACCCTGGGGCGCGGCCCTTAGGAGCCTCCGGGATCGGCAGGATGGGGCCGGATGGAGCCGTGTGCAGCTGGGGGCGCGCTGGGCCCCCAGAGCCGCTTCCTGCCGCCCCCCCACTGTTTAGGCCCCGCCTCCCTCGCGAGTGTTTCCGCGTTTCCACAGGGCCTGGCTACGGCAGCCAGGCGGCCTGTCGGGCTAGGGGAGCCGAAGCGGGGCCCACCGCGGGCCAGCAGTTCCGTGGTTACAGGGCGGCGCCCGGCGACTGCCCAGACCCGCAGGGCCGCGCTGGCCTGAGCTCAGTGCCGCCGGCCTGTGGAGCCCCCACCCCACCCTGCCTGGCTTGCGCCAGCACCCGCGTCCCCATGCCGAGCAGGGCGCGGAGGCCAGTGACCGGCTGAGCGCTGGTGGCTCGGGTATCTGGGGTG